GTTTCTTAATGGAGAGCTCCGAATGCAGATAGCATCAAAAACTCAGTATATCAGAAATTGACTCAACTTGCCCTAATAAACCTACCTCATGTCTAAACTACTTTATTTCCATTTAAGACACTATTATCTTCCTAGTTACAAACCTATTTTGGTTTGTAACTTTAGAATCCTGGTTGACTCTTTCCTTTCCCTTATCTCTTATATCCAGTAACTAGATATAAGCCATGTTGATTTTATCTCCACATACCTGCCATCTAGAATCACAAAATATGGAGTTAGAAAGGACCTCAGCCATCGACTCCTCCAAGCCATATCCAAAAAGGAATCCTCACTATGATATACTTGACAGATTGTTGCCTAGCCTTTTGCTGAGGTAGTCCATTCCATTTATAGATAGTTCTTATTGTTGGGAAGTTTTTCCTAACAGGAATCCTAAATTTTTCCCTTTTACAACTTTCACCCACTGCTCTTGGTTCTGTGCTTTGGGGTCAAACAGAACAAGTCTAAAACCTCCTTGTGATGCATTACTATGTACTTGACTTTTTTGTATCCTCAGCACTTAGCACAATGCCCTGCACATAGTAAATGCTAAAAAAAAAAATACTTCTTGATTGACTTCTTCCATAGTTAGCTCTTTGTATTCTTGAATCAAGGAATTCTTGAATCAGTTATCATGGCTTATCTGAGCCTTCTTTTCTTTAGAGTAAATATTCTTAGTTCTTTCAAACTGTTCTCCTGTAGTAAGAACATTTGGCCCTTCACCATTCTTGTTGAAACAGAGTTGGAGGAGCTAGGTAGTATAGTGGATGGAGCACCAGGTCTGGAATCAGAAAGATTTAAGTTCAGATCTGGCCTCAGACACTAGCTGTGTGACCCTGGGCAAGTCATTTACCTCTGCCTTAATTTTCTTATCTATAAAATGAAGATAATAATAGCACCTATCTCTCAGGGTTGTTGGGAAGATCAAATGAGATAACATTTGTAGAAAGGTTCTGGGGCAGCTAGGTGACACAATGGATAGAACACCAGCTCTGGAGTCAGAAGGACCTGAGTTCAAATCTGGCCTCAGACACTTGACACTTAATAGCTGTGTGACCCTGGACAAGTCACTTGACCCCAATTGCCTTGGGGAAAAAAGTTCTTAGAACAGTGACTGCTGCATAGTAGATGCAATATAAATGCTTATTCTCTTTTCCACTCTTTTTTTTTTTTAGGCAATTGGAGTTAAGTGACTTGCCCAGGGTCACACAGCTCCCTTTCCTACTCTTAATGCAGCTCAGTTATTAGCTTTTTTGGCTGCCAAGTCACATTGAGTTAGTAGTTCACTAAAAATTCCCCTAATTGATCTTCCAGCTTCCTTTTTTTCCTTCTCTAGCCCATCTTCTTAGAGCTATCAAAACAATCTTTCTAAATCATTGATCTGATCATATTACTCCCCTACCCAAAAACCTTCTCTTCTGGAACGGGCCAAACTTAAGCTATTCCAGTGATTCAGCTTTGGGAGTCAAAATTCATTGTGTACTTGTGAACCATAAAATACAATAAAAACAACTTTACTGATAGTGAGAGATTAAAAAGAATACAATTTCTAAAGCAATAAAAGATAATAACTCAAATAAAACACTGTTCTCCTTAGCATCGACAGTCATCATAGCAACCAGCCACCCTAGATCAGTCATGTTGTCACTGTTGGGCAGTAGAAGTTACTGTAAAACCTCTGACACTAGTTCCCTCTAGGCTGATCCTTATATACCTCAAGTGTTAAGGAAGCCAGACTTCCTCAGCTCCTTTCCTTCTACCCTTCTTTCCCCACTTGCAAATGACCCAGTCCAGTTTACGTAAAATAGCAGGTATCACTTATGTTACAAATTTAGTGCCTTCTCATTGCTTATAGGATAAAATATGAACCCTTTGGAGTGTTTCCCACCAACTATAATCATCATAGTTTATCGTGTTCACAACCTCTCAGTATCCAAAATTCAAGTGAACCTTGCTTTTGCCCTTACTCTTCATTTGTGGGCATAAGCCTTCCAGAAATGGCCTTGATTAATTTTAGATTATGTTAATCTAACTTTTTATGAGAGAGACACAAAGATACCTGGGTTAGTGGGGGGGGGGGGGGAGCAGAACAACAAACACCAGAGATGAATAGAGCCATTTCTCCAGGACTATGGAAGTCTCTTTACCTCAAGCCATTTCAGAGTTCTAGTTATAGCTTTCCTGGACAATAGAAAAAAATTCACAATATGAAAACGTAGTTACAGAGCTCAAGATAAAAGTTCAGTTAACCATTTGCTTCATCAAACAGAATAATACTTAACTTCTGGCATACTCTTGGAGAATCATTTCCCTAAGAACATGCAATCCCTCTTTGACCTCTCCATTAAAGGATACCCTTTTTGAGCTTTTTGACCATCCTAACTTTTGTTAATTTAAGTAATCTAAGAAATTTCTTCCTTCTTTTAGGTAGATAGTTAACCTAATCCTTTCAGGGCATGGAGAAAAAGTAATATCAAAATTAGGGTTTCATTTGGTCATCACTCTTAATTACCTCAAGGGGAAAGTCAGAGGGCTGATCAGAGAGAAGGGAAGCAGGGCTTTGTTTCTGTGTTGATAGTTAAAGAAAGACCAATAAGGTTTCAATTTTAGATTAGTCCAAAGGCTTCAGAATAGGATGATTTAAAGATGCTCTCTTAATATTTATAAAACAGGGAAGGGGTAGGGTTTGTCTGCTTCCACAGTACGTACTGTATGCAGAATATTGTGCTAAGTGATAGGGATACAAAGATAAGGCCTTATCTCTCAAGAAATTTATAATTTAAGGTTGGAGGGGTTGAGGGATGACAAGTATACTAATAATTATGAAATAAGGGAGAATGAAGCAAGGAGAGATCTAGTCAAAGTCTTATAGGAAACTTGGGGAAGATATTGTTCTCCTCTGAGGGAGGGGGTCAGGGAAGGAATAATGGAAGAGGTAGATTAAGTCTCCAAAGAAGGGAAGAACTTCAACAGATGATGGGAGGAATTCATTATAGGAATAGGAAATTGTATGAGCAGTGCTCATACAAAAGGCATTTGCTCACACTGTTCTTGCCAGAACAAGAACAAGGGATGGAGATTAGCCCAATTTAATTGGAAAACAGAGAATATGAAGAGGACTGAAATGAGGTAAAGCTAGCCAGGGAGATTAGGGCCATATTAGGTAGAGATTTGATAGTAGGAAATCACTGAAAATTTTTGAGTAGAGAATTGACATAGGGTCATAGCAGGCCATTAAGGAGAGTCAGTTCAATTAAAAAGTTATTAAGCACTTACTATAATGCAGGGCTTTATGCTGGGTGCTAGAGATACAAAGATTAAAACAAAACAGTACCTGTTCTCGGGATACTTACATTCCACTGGTGAGGTATAACATGAACACAAATAAGTATAGTATAAAGAAAGTTGAAAAGGGAGAAAGTATTGTCAACGAGGGATCGTGAAGGAGGTGGAACTTAAGCTGAGCCTTGAAGAAAGACAAGGATTCTGAAAGGTGTATAGGTAAGGAGGGAGTTCATGGTAGTCATCCTTCTGTTAGAGAGTTGCCTTGTCTGTCTAGGTCAGCACTTCTTAAACTGTGGGTCACAATCCCATATGGGGTTGTGTAACTGAATGTGGGGGTTGCAAAAAAATTGGCAACAATAAAAGATTTCTGAACACACAATGACCAAAAATTAATTCAAAATCAAATACACAATGAATCCGAGGTGTTTCTCCCAGAGCTTACCCATGTTGCGTTGTACAACTTCATTGCAGCCTTGATTCTGAACACACAACATAACATGCATACTTTTGCACTGTGCATGCCATCACTCCATGCAACACCAACAAATCCTGCAAGAAACATCTAGACTCAGATTCAAGACTATCATGTGTTGTGAATTGCAGTATTATTACCATACATACAACTTGGGGGAAAAAAAACTAGAAAACAGAACAAAGCAGGATATATTAGCAATTGATGTATAGTATGATTTATAAATACGATAAAATTTCAAAGAATAAACAGGTCTCTGTGGACTAAAATAATCAGCAAAGGGTATATGGAGGACGTGGGACATGAAACTGTGTTTTGAATGAATATTCAATTCATTGGTGGATAGTAATGGAAAGGACGTTCCAGGAAGGGAGCCTTGGGAGAAAGTAGCAAAGACAAAAACAAAACAGTTTTTGCCCTGAAGATGCTTACATTCTACTGGGGTATATAATATATACACAGATAAGTAAATCCAGTGTATATACAAGAAGTATCATTTTCATTGCTATATAGTATACATATACATTTTCAAAGAAACTTTTATAGTATCTGTTACAACTTTTGAAATAGTTAAGTCCTGATATTTATGTAAGAATACAGTTTTAGACCCCTCTCATCCCCTTTGGGCAATATCTTCATAGAAACACAGTTGTGGGGAAGTAAAACATTTTCTGGTCGTGGCCTAGAGCTTGAAGGCTCATGATGGAGACTTTGGAATATTTGCTTTGATGAATCATTGGACAAAAAGACATAAAAATAATTTTATTTAGCAGTAGTCAGGGCCACCTAGTTGAATTAGTTTGAACTCTAGTTCGTTCCTTTTCTGTCCTCATATTTTAATACTATTTTCAGTCATATGTAGGCTTAGAATATGCTTATTTAACTTGGACAATCTTATTTCATCTACAAATGGTTCATTTACTAATTCAGCAATTATTTATAATTATTTTCTATGTCTAAGTCTCTCTGCTGGGTGTTTGGGGAATAATGATATGTGTAAGGGCATTGTCCCTGTCCTCAGCAACCTTAAATGTCATAGGGGAAATAAGACGGTTGTACAGATAGCTATAATGTAAAGCAGTATGTCCCTAGTACCCATAAGAGTGGTATAAAAGGTACAGTATATAAGTTTAGAAAAAAAAGGAGACTTCCCCATTTCCAGCATAGAAGAATGATGATATTTACATGTTGTATTTTTTTCCAGTTAATGACACCAAGTCCAACTTAATTCCTGAAGAGAAATATTCAGAAGAAATGGAACCACAAAGGAAAATATCTGACAGACTCAACTGTGAGGTTTCCCAGGTCCTACAGTATGGAGAAACCTGTGAACATGATGAAGAGTTAAAAACACAGCAGGGAAACCCTATAAGAGGGAGACGACATAAATGTGATGAGTGTGGGAAAAGCTTCACTCAAAGTTCAGATCTTATTCGACACTGGAGAGTCCATACTGGAGAGAAACCCTATGAATGTAATCAGTGTGGGAAAGCTTTTAGCCAGAGTACAGGTCTTATTCTACATCAAAGAATCCATAGTGGGGAGAAACCTTACAAATGTAATGAGTGTGGGAAAGCCTTTAGTCACAATTCACATCTTATTAGGCATTGGAGAATACATAGTGGGGAGAAACCCTATGAATGTGATGAATGTGGGAAAGCCTTCAGTAAGAGGTCAGGTCTTACTGAACATCAAAGAATTCACAGTGGAGAGAGACCCTTCAAATGCAAAGCATGTGGGAAAGCTTTCAGTAGGAAAAGTGACCTTGCTGAACATCAGATGATACATACAGGGGAGAAAGCCTATCGATGTGATGAGTGTGGAAAAGCCTTCTTTCACAAGTCAAGTCTTATTCGACATCAGAGAATTCATACAGGGGAGAAACCTTATAAATGTGATGAATGTGGAAAAGCTTTTAGAGAAACATCAGTGCTTATTGAACACCAGAGAATTCACACTGGTGAAAAACCATACAAATGTGATCATTGTGGAAAAGCTTTTAGAAAGAAGTCACGCCTAATTGGACATCAGAGAAGTCACACTGGAGTGAGGCCATATAAATGTAAAGAATGTGGGAAAGCTTTCAGTGGCAATGCTGGCCTTATTGAACATCATAGAATACACACTGGGGAGAAACCATATAAATGTGGTAAATGTGGGAAAGACTTTAGAAAGAGGTCTGGTCTTATTGAACATCAGAGAATTCACACTGGAGTGAGATCCTATAAATGTAAAGAATGTGGGAAAGCTTTCCATGGTAACACTGTCCTTAATGAACACCAGAGAATTCATACTGGTGAAAAACCTCACAAATGTATTAAGTGTGGAAAAGCCTTCATAAAAAAGTCAGGTCTTACTGAACATCAGAGAAGCCACACTGGAGAGAGACCCTACAAGTGTAAAGAATGTGGGAAAGGCTTTAGTGGGAGTACAGGACTTATCCAACATCAGAGAATCCACACTGGGGAGAAAGCATTTCAGTGTGATGTATGTGGCAAAGAATTTATTTGGAGATCAAGCCTTATTCAACATCAGAGAATCCATACTGGAGAGAAACCTTTTCAATGTGATGTGTGTGGTAAAGAGTTCCTTTGGAGGTCAAGCCTTATTCAACATCAGAGAATCCACAATGTAGAAAAATATATTTCCAAATAGAATGAAGGAAGTCTTCGAGTGAACTATTAAGTATTAATCAAGAATTATTCATCATGTGAGAAACCACATATGTGAAAATAGACTAAAAATAATTAGGACTCTTTTTTTTAAAAGATTCAGCCCAAAAAATAGGATGAAAGTCTAGAAATCATAAAGAATTTTGATAGGGTAAACATGGGCTTAAAGGAAACACTGTATTGTATGGGAGTAAACATTTTATTTGTTACCCCATGAAAGTGATATATGGTAATAAATATAAATTAGCCTAAGCAGGACTTAGATGAATTTAGTAGGATGGTAGAACAAGAAATGTTTACAAGTCTAACCTTGCTTTTATCACAGTCTCACTAGAATGCAAGGCTGAACTTGTTTGTATAGTTTTAGTATTTAGAGTAGTATACTGATTACTTGGGACAAAGTAAAATAAACATATTGACTTATACAATAAACCTTACAACTTTTTATATTTTTAAAAATTTAATGTGTATCATGTTCTCAATTTTGCTGCAGTTTTTTACATGATTTGACATTTGCGTTTACAAAATTTTGACATTCTTTAATTGATCATCATAAAACTATGCTTTTATCACCCTAGATATTAAGTATACCTTTGATGACCAATCCATTTTTCCAAGTCTAGCTTTGATGATAGCCCAGAGTTAAATCAGAAGAGTTCTCAGTCCATTGAAGCATATTTATTTTATTTAGATAAATTTCTTAACCTTTTGTTAAGATTGGGGGGAGGGGTAATGATGTATGGCATAGTACAAGATAATTTTGCAGTATTCAGTCTTCAGGAATTCTGTAATTGTGGACCAATTTTGCTTTACAGTGTATCAATATATTTTTCAGAGTTCATTATCCCTTCAATAGGGACAAGACTTTTAGGCCCACTGGAGGTAAAAAAAAATCCCCCAAACATTTTTAGGGGTGGATGTTTCACAGTCTGATGATGATGCCCAGATCTTACAAGCTCATCTGGACTTCTAACAATGGTTTTGGTATAGCCTCAGATGAAAAAGTGAATTTTATCAGTACAAACAATCTTTTCCCAATCTTTAGTATTCCAATCTTTGCATTGTGTTGTCTAGGATATGCATTATTTCTTCATAGGAAGAGTTAGCAGCTTTCACACACACACAAAAAAAAAAAGAAAGAAAGAAACTGGTCTTGTTCTTCCAACTACATCAAGCCTGAAGATCAAGAGTTCTGAACCTTTTTGTGTCATGAACCCTTTTGATAGTCTGTTGAAACCTACAGACCTCCTCTCAGAATTTTAGATGATAAAGTAAAATACATAGGATTACAAAGGAAACCAATTATATTGAAATGTAATTATAAAAATATTTTTAAAAACACAAGTTAACTCCAGCTTAAGAAGCCTTTTGTTAAGGAATCCCTTAACCATTCTTCCAGCTGTCAGGTTCCTCTGAAGGTCTTTGATTGTTTCTGAGGATTATATTTAAGGAGTATAGATGGATTATAAAGTATAGGTTATACTTAAATACCGGAGGCTGTATTACAGTATTAGTTTACAGCATTAATTTGTTGGTCTTTTCATTTTCAGTAGCGCTTTGCTTTGTGTTTCAGTGTGGCTTATCCTGGTTCGTTGTGAGCCTGAATGATCCTTTGAACACTTGATTTCCCTATGCCAACAGTTCTTGCCATCTTTCAAATAGTCATTGAAATGTGCTTTTTAAGAGTTACAACTTTTGAATGTTTCCTTGGAATAATATGCATTCTTAAGTGCACAGAGTTAAAAGGACACTAAAAGCAATGAAATGTGTGTATGGCACAAAATCTAGTACTCATCTGACTGAATTAACAAAAAGTGGAAACCAGCTCAATCTGGTATCTTCTGATGAATGTCAGATGTTCTTAGCCTATGGTTAGAAGTACAAACATTTACGTTGCTGTCACAAAATGAAACCATATCAAAATTTTGCTTGTCCCAAATAATTCACACATCATCATTTCTAATAATAACTAGCTTTTATATAGTATTTTAAGGTTTGCAAAGTGTTTTACAAATAATATTCTCAAACAACCCTTTGAAGTAGGTGCTATTATTATCTCTATCTTACAAAGGAAGAAACTGAGGTAGACAGATGTGTTATTTGTCCAGGGTCATACAGCTAATAAACATCTGGAGGCAGATTTGAACTTAAGTCTTCCTGATTTGAGGTCTAGCTCTCTATTCACTGTGATGCCTAACTGCCTAAGTTGTGAACAGGATCAGCTCTAAGTAGCTGCTGGTTAGGGGAGAGGGAGCTGGTCTTATTGTGAGGGCGGGTGAAAAGGGCAATGGGCAGATGAGTGGCAGAGAAAAAAAAATAGGAAGCTTCTGAAAACATCTTTGGGAGATGACAGAAGAGTAGGAAAGTGGCTCGTAGTTGGATTCAGATAAAAATCCATTCATTAACAGTATAAATAAGTGTCTGTTATGTGTCAGGCACTATGCCAGGTACTGTGGATACAAATTAAAAAATGAAATAATCCTGCTGTTAAGGAACTTAACATTCTATCAGGTGAGACAATATATGCAAAAAACTACAATATATACCAGCTGTGTTCAACTGTAGTTTGTACTAGACCTTTGGCAGGAAGCTGCTAATTACCAGCCATAAGCTATTGAGTAATCTTGCTTATTTCCATCGAAAATGTAGAAAGATTGTTATAAATGAATGAAAACTTGATTAGAAGCTCTAAGAGGTTAAGCAAATATGGCCAATAGGCAGTTTCCTGCAGTGATTTTCCATGAGAGGTAGCCTCAGGAGCTACCACCAAGAACACTGAGAGATGAGGATCCTATTTCTAATAAGTATGGAGAGAGCAAGGGGAATGTTGAAGTGACTTTTTAAAATGTAGAATGTTTGTCTTTTTGCTGTGGCCAAGTCAGTACTATATATGCACAAAGTGCAGGTTGATTTCCTTCCTAGGAATGATGCAAAAGTGCTAGGGGAATGCATTTCTATTTTCCAAGTTATTGGAAAGAATTAAAGTGTAAGGGCTCCTAGGTAAAAGCAAAGAAGACCTAGGAACTGAAGAGGTAAAAGGAAATCCTAAGCTGTTTTAGAATGTGCTATATAAAGAACTACTGACCATTTGGAAGTATGTACTAGGTATGAGAATTCCTACTGACTGGGGACCTGAATGCTTTTTTTTAATATTTTAATTTTTTTACATCTCTTATATTTTCCCCTTGTATCTCTGCCCCTCCTCTTCCTCCCAGAGAGCCCTTCCTTATGAACTAGATTTTTTTAAAGAAATAAATTGAGCAAAACCAATCAACACATCAAACAACAACAACAATACCCTAATATACACCTTGTTACACACCTGTGGGACCCTCACTTCTCCAGAGGAAAGAGTCTTCTCATATATGTTTTCTGGTGCCAAGCATGGTCTTTATAATTTAGTATAGTGGATGTCCTTTCCATTTACACTGTTGCAGTAATTGTGTATATGTCTTCCCTGTACTCATCATGATATTTTAAAGCATAATAATATTTCATTACATTCATATACCATAATTTGATTAGCCATTTCCCAATCCATGTACATTTACTTTATTCCAGTTCTTTGTGTTTTTTTTTAAAACCACAAAAAGTACTCCTATAAATATATTGGTGTACATAGAACCCTTTTTTTTTTTTTTGTCAATGATCTCCTTGTAGTATATGCCTAGCAGCGGAAACTTTGGGTCCCACACAGTGATTTTAGTTACTTTATTTGCATAATTCCAATTTGCTGTTCAGAATGGTTGTATCAGTTCACAGCTCCATCAACAATATATTAGGGTGTCTGTTTTGGATATCAAATCCTTACCTGAGATGTTTGATAAAAAGACTTTTCCCCCAGTTGACCATTTCCTTCTTATCCTGCACATCTTAATTTTGTTTGAACAAAAGGTGTTCAATTTCATGTTATCAAAATGATCTGTTTTATCTTTTGTAATTACCTCTGTCCCTTGTTTGGCAGGAACTCCTTTTTTTACCCTTAGCCAGCAGTTTGTGTTTTAAGGGATGATGAACTGGATCCACAAATGTCATTAGGAAAGAGATTATCTAGTAAGGATAAGAAAAAGGGTAAGAATAGTAATTCCTGACAACCTGCTTTAAAATTCCACAAGAGAAATCAGCCCAGTTATTAAGTCAACAAGCATTTATTAAGTGCTTACTATATGCCAGGAACTTTGTTAAGCACTGGAGATAGCTGTAAAGAAAGGCAAAAATACCTTGGCTCCTGTCCTCAAAGCGCTCATATTTTAATATGGGAGATAATATTCAAACACTGTGTATACACAAGATATATACAGTTTAAGGTGTAATCTCTGAGGGAAGGAACTGGCAATGGAGCTGGGATTTGGGCTGAATCTTGAAGGAAATCAGGAGGTAGAAGAAAGAAGGGATAACATTCCAGTCATGAGGACAATGAGTGAAAAGGGATAGAGCTGAGAGATGGAGCGTCGTGTGCAAGAAAAGCATGAAGGCTAGTTTCACTGGACTGTAGAGTATCCAGAGAGCAAAGACTAGAAACATAGGAAGGGGCCAGGTTGGGAAGAATTTTAAAAGTTGAACAAAAAAATTTATATTTGATTTTGGAAGTAATAGGGAATCACTGGAGTTAATGAGACAGAAAACTAAAGAATAACATTCAGAAGACACAGGCAAAAATTATTCTGACAAGAAGGAAGAGACAGTTGCATAAAAAGACTGATGTAGTTGCGCATTGATTAACTCATACTTAAGATATATATTTAGAAGATAAGCAAGAGCAAGTAACTAAGAATAAATACAAAACCATAGCGTGGTACTGTAAGAATGATAGCAGGAATGCTAAGGCCTAAAATAAACTCAGAATACTAATCCAATACTAAGAAAAACAAAAAGGGATTATTTAGCTACGTTGAAAGTAAGGATAGGACCATTGTTCATGGACAGTGAGATGATGATAATATATGTCAGTGAGAAGGGGAAGGAAAAAGCAGGTAGTGGTTCTGCAGATAATGAAGTAAGCAAAAGCACGAGTATGGAAAGTGTGGGACATGAATGAGGGAAAGCTAGTAAAAAAAAAAAAAGAAATTAAGTGAAGATTTAGGGGGATGGGCAACAGTTGGTATTTGCTGTCCTATACAAGTTCTGCTTTGAGCCATACTCGCCCTTTCCCTTATCATTTCTCAGTACCTACACTCTTCCTAGGGGAGGTTCACCAGTGCACTAAGATTGTGTACAGGTCTTTTAAAAAATGAAGCTAGCCTTTTACTTTTCACTCCTTCCTGCTATAATCCCCTGTTATCTCATGCCTTTTTTGTGAGCTTATTTTTCCCTCTCCAAGTAGAGACAGTGCCATTCTTGGCCACCTATACTGAAGATCAAATTGCAGGGAGTAGTGCCTTCCTTATGTTAATTATTTTCTATTTATCCTGTACATAGCTTGCTTTGCATAT